AAGGTTGGAAGTAATTCAACCCTTTTTCCAAAAAAATATATCATATTTAATGGATCCTAGTTAAATGTGTGGGGTCGAATTTTAATACATCGAGCAAATTTGACCAGTTTGTTTGACGTTAATATATTCATTAGTGTTTGACACTAATGAGCATACTAATGTCAAATTTGAGATATTGTAAGCTTTTATCTATTGTAAGCATTATAAGAATCAATATTGATCAACTCGTGGTAAATATGTGAAATGATCAGAGGAAGTGTTAATTAAGACTATAAACAGTTTAATTTGTGTGGAACCCGATGCTTGCATCGCGTTCCACAATTTATTTTATTTTTAAATATTTGTATTTAAACAAATATGTAATTGTTACAGCAATAAATATTACTATTACTATTACTATAACAGTGTTAAGAATTCACCAAATATTTTTGTTAAAGCTATTGCTAAACTTTTACTAATCCTTACTTATTTAAAAAATTTTGTAGAATTGAAAAATATGGCCATATGAAACCAGATTGAAATCTGTAAATTACCTGTTCATATCAGAAATTGGCTTCAAACTAATGATCCAACAGTATTTAAGCCATTTAAAGTTGTTTCCAATGAAGCAGCCTAAGATATGTCTAATCTTCCTGGAGTTATAACAAAAAAGACAAGTTTTACATGACTTATAAGTAAGCTCTGGAGTAAAGATTTAATATTGAATCTGACTTATAGTAAGACTTAATATTGAATCTTGCCGAATCAATAACAATAGAAGAAATTCTTACTTATGAAAAGTCTTAGGTATTAAGAAAAACTTTATACCTAATAAATGCTCAAAATTTAGAGTATTTAAATTTAATCTAGAGTATTTCAAAAATTTGTAGAGAGCGAAGCTCGTTGTCGTTTACTTCGAAGGGTTCTTTTCCAGAATTCAAAATAAGATTTTGGTATGCGGTCGTTCGTATAATTTAGAATAAGGTGCACTTAAAGCGCATGAGTATCAACCGTCAAAAGTATTCTAGGTCTGCAATTTTTCTAAAATTCAAATACTTATTTTGAATTATACGAAAGACTGTTAGCCTCACTTAACTGAAAAAGTATCACTCAAAAAAAAAAAAAAAACATATTGGAAAAAAAGAAGCCGTATTGGAAAAAAAGAAACGTACATTCAACTCTTTTTAAGAAAAATTACTTAGTAAATCTTGACTAAGCTAATGATTTTCAAGTTTTTCATAAAATATTCTTTTACGACATAATCTTAAAATATAAAACTAAAATAATAAATTCAATGACAACTTGAAAAAAAAAAGATTTATTTAAAAAGTTTAAAAATAATTTATCTTAATTAAGAACTTACTTTCAACATTATTTACTATTATATATAATCTTACACTGCACCGTGGGTCATAGTTAGCTAAAAAGTTACTTATTGAGTTTTTTAGTCATTTGCAATCATCGCACAAATGGCAAAGAATGCAGTTCTTACCATTTGATACACCCTTTAGGATACGTCAAACAAAAAAATGTGTTAAAAATATGTGAAAAACGTGAATTATCTAAAAACATTGCCAACCCGACGGGCATTTGTTTTTAAAAGTTACGTTCTAAATGTATTTTAAATGTCTTTTAAACGTCTTCTAAACATTTTTACGCAAAAAACGTTTAAAAGACATTTAAAATACATTTAGAACGTAACTTTTAAAAACAAATGCCCGTCGGGAATACAGCAGTGGTTTAAAAATTTAATCTCTACCTAAAAATATTTTTTCATATTTATCTATATTTTAATAATAATTTCAAAATTTTTATTTTCTTTATTTATATTGATAAAAAAAAAGGTTTTAATAAACAATAACTGTAGTTTATATACTGTAGTTATAATAACATATTTTACATATCACTGCATATCATTACACGTACTAAAATTTATTTTTTAAAAAAACGTTTGCGTAGTTCAGCTTCAGTGATTCGATTCCTCTATCATCTCCTTCGGCTTGCCGTAAAAGAGATTAAAAGTGGAGTTATTTCTTACAGAAAAAATTAAACTTATACTTGTATGGACTAGTTTGATACTAATTTCTTTGATTTTTCTACCCAAAAAATTGATTTAAAAAAAAAGTGTGTTTTAAAAAAACTGAATATAAAAAAGTTTTTTATTCAGTTTACTGTGGTCTAAAGTGTTCATGCTCCCAGTATTTGAAATCCATGTTAATATTTTTGTTTGAGCGAGCAAGTTATTTATTTGATTGTATTTAAAAATCAATATTTATTTGAAATAAATATTTATCTGCATATATTTTTATTTGCAGATAATGCAACAACCTTCTGCCAGCAAATTTTAACAATAAGTTTTAAATAAATCTAAATGAAAAGTATAATTTAAGATCAAATAGAATCAAAAACTATAAATTGCCTCGGAAATGTAATAAGCTCTCAGAGTTTTGTATATCTTATCAAGGACCTAAACTATGGAATGACTGTCAAAAGAAATAAGTTTTTTTTTTTTAAAAAAAGAAATTTTTAAAATTATAAGAAAAGTTTTTTTTTTTTTTTTAATCAATTTATTTTTGCCACTCTCATTTTAACGGTAACTTAGTTATTATTATTGTTTTTTTATACGAGCTTTTTACTATTACGATAAATTTTTTAAACTTGTACAAAAAGTTCTATGTCCTAGAAGTTCTAAAAAGTTCTATGAAAAGGTTGCGATCTTTTCTTCTTTGTGCCCTTATCTGCTTTACTTAATTTTGTTATTAGTCCAGTATACACTTTTATATTTTATTTTATGTTATCTATATGCATAGTACATTGTAAAAGTAATACTTCTACTCTGTTAAACAGAAAGAAAAAAAGAGAAAAATAAAAAAATATTAGTATACACATGCTTACGCCAAATCAATATGCTTTGCAAAATATTGCCATTATGCCAAAGCCTGGACCAACAAATGCACCAAAAACTTTGCCCTCCACCCCAAATGTTAGAACATTAAACTAATAAATTTTTTTACTAACTTACACTAAATTTAAAATCTTCAAAAGGTTTTAAATTTCATCAAGTAACATTTTTAGGGATCAAAGGTTTAGGGATCATGTAGTCATGATCATGTAAAGATTTTCTCTTCAAAATAAGGAGCTTTTTAAATTTTATATGGTCATAACTTTTGAGCTCTAAAAGGTATTTGATGAAGTTTAAAACCTTTGTATGAATTTAAATTAAGAATAAGATAGTAAAAAGAAATATTTTGTTAACTAACTCCCAGATTTGGTGTTTGGGGGCAACCTTTTTAGGATATTTTTGTTTTGATTTGGCGTGAGCATAAACATACTTGAGTTTGGAGTTTGTAAAATATCTGAATTTGTCATACTGAAACACCAAAACCGGTCAGAGAAGTCAAAACACAATTTCAATATCAGAAATTTATTACTTTTTTTTTTTTTTTTTTTTTCCAAGGTGCCCCAAGAAGTCTTTACGGTCTTTTCACAGAGCACCGCGGAAGAGCATTTTATAGGAAGTTCACGCCTCCTTCCCAACCGATATCGCAAAACTTGCCCAGAGGTGGGGTTTGAACCACGAGTCTTATGTTTCTGACCCCAACAACCTATGACTAGATATATAATTTGATTGTTTTTTTATGTCTCCTATTTTGCTAACTTTTGATATGTCCACTACGCTTTAGTTTGCTACCAAACAATACAAATCTGACTTTACTGATAGATGTTGCATTTTTCAGACCAATAAAATCAGGGGAAGACTTTGTACAATCTGAAAAAAGATTTAAAAAAAAACATTATTCTTTTTTTTTTAATCTTTATATTCTTGATTTAGGAGTTGCAAATAGGTTTATTTGAGGGTCAGGATCAAGGTTAAGGATTAAAGTTAGTTATCAAGATAGATCAACCTGACCATTTTTTAAACCTATTCGGACCGGCTATGACTTAAATTCGATCTTAATTATGAACCTCATCCCGCTAAACTTTGTCCTCACTTTTAAAGAATACTTTTATATCATTTATGTTGTTATAAACGCGACTTATCGCTGCAAAGTTGTTAATATTACAACCACAATGTCTTTACGCTGACTTTGGCAATGTATGCTCATCAGTACGGAAGGCGACTTGACTTAACTCAGAGTTCATTGCTCTTACTCGGTGTTCTGTGGTCTTCGTTAGGTCCGTTAGGACCGTTAGGTCTTCTTGGAGCAAAAAAGTTCGTGCAGTAGAGCATGAAATTGTATGCCCGCGTGTAGCATAAAACATAAATCCACGTTTAAGTGTGCATACTAAAAAAAAAATGTCTTTTCTCTTATATATATTTTAGAGTGATATTTTTCTTATATACTGTCTAGCAGTTTAACGTTGTTCTTCTTGAAAGAAAAAGTTTGAAAAAGTTATAAAATAGTTGCGTAATTTAATTATTATTTGATAATTGAACATTATAGAGATTTGATCAGATTGCTTTACTGAACATTTGCTAAGTGAAATAATACGGTTAGATTATGATTAGAATTATTCAAACTTTTGGTTTATTCAAAAATTATTCTAAAAATTTAGGTCAAAACTCTACCAATGGCACCGCTCCTGATAACAGATTTCAGCACAGAATTTTATGCTCTACTTAACGCCTTTTTTTCTCCAAGAAGACCTAATAGCAAAATGTTTTCATTTGTTGTCACATTTGTTTATGTGAAAACAAATGAAAAGAATCCAAGCCTTAAAATTTAAAGAATGCTTATCAGCAGCAAACATGTCTTATGCTTATCAGCAAACATGACTGAATGCTTATCAGCAGCAAAAATGATTAACAAACATGTATGGAAATCGTTTTAAAAAGATAATTTTTGAAAAAAACCTTGCTGATTTTATATAGAAGTTATTTTTCAGCCTTTATTTAAGTTGATATGTTGCGAAGTTAAGCACATTAACACCGGAAATTAAACCACATTGAAAGTATAATCTTTCTAAAAGTAATTAAATATTTTTTGTTGTAACAAATACTATTCAGAACAATTCAGAAATCACTACTATTTAATCCTACGAAAGTTGAATATTTTTTTAAATAAAACTACTTTATTATGATGCATAATAACTTAATTTAACAGATTTCCACTAATTCAAGTCTGAATTATAAATAAACACTCGAAAATAACAAGTTAAAAAATGAAGCTATTTAAAACAACTAAACAACTTACGCTTCTCAATTTTAACCAATGATTATTCACATTTTTATATAACAATAAGGAACAGCATAACTAAAGGTTAGCAATATTTTACTTTATCGTGTTAAAGTATAAATAGTCAAGAATTTAAGTTATATTACGAAATACAATATAACGTAATGTATTGCAAAATATAAATATGTTGTTAAATTAGTTGTTAATAAGTAGTTAAATTTTTTTATTCCTCGATTTTTAGTTAAAATGAATGAAACAGAGCATCAAAATGAAACTATTTGTATATTTGACCAGCCATACAAAGTAACATTACTTTTTCTTTTAAGCACAACTTCTGTTGTAGCAATTATTGAAAATGTTTTTTTTTGTTTTGCTGTTTACTTCGATAAAAACCTTCACTCAAGATCAAATATTTTAATTGTAAGTTTAGCTGTTACAGATATAATTATAGCCGCTATTTTGCCTAACCTTGAATCCGTCTATTTATACTTTTATCCATCATGGCCTATTGGTAGTCTGGGAACAATTACCCTTAATTTAATATGGATTTTTTCACTTGTTTGCCCGTTTGTTACAGTAACAGCTATAACGATTGAACGTTATATTATGATTGCAGGTAAATCAAGTTGGAAAGATTTTTTTACAAAAAGAGCATATATATTCATTGTGATTTTCATTTGGCTTTATTCTTTTATCTGTTGCTTAGTTACAGCCGTTACTATGATACCGGCACATAAAAACGAATATGTTTGGAACGTGAATTCAATTCTTTACTATATTCTACTTGGTTTTCATATTATAGTTCCTTTGTTGTTATTACCTGGGCTTTATTATAAAATAAAAAACGTTTCTCAAAATTTTCTAAAAGAGCTTACAAAAGAAACCGAAAATAACGTCAATCTACGCAGACAAAGAAAAGAAATGAAACTAGCGAAGACAATTTTCATTATTATAGGAGTTATGTATTTAGTATGGTCTCCAGTAGTAATTATAGAAATTTTGTATAACCTTGAGTTTAAAGTGTGTGTTATTTCAAAAATTGGAGTGATCAGTTTATGGTTAACATGCATAAATGGATGTCTAAACCCTTTGGTTTACTCCTACAGAAATGCAGAAGTAAAAAGGTTTGCAAAAAACGCAATTAAACTTATTGTAAGATATTCGTAATAATGAAATAAAAACCTATTAATTGATATTTTATATTTTTATCATAAATTTATATATATTTGAATATACAGCTCTAAAAATATGGCACACTTCTCTAAAATTTATTTTACCAAATTTTTAATATACAAAACAATATTAAAGATATGATTTTTAATGACAATTATGATATAAATAGAAGTCACGTTTTGAAGTTATTTAGTAGGGGAAAGGGGGCACATTAGGAGAAACTTTTTAAAAAAGATATTACAGTTTTCATACTGTTAGATAAAAACTTTAAATTTTTTCTGAAAAAGGTAATTCAGCTATTAGTTCTTTAAAAAAATTCAAACTTAAGCTTGTTCAAATAAATTATACTTACTTTTTTACTTGTAAAACAAAGCAAGTATTTTTATTATTGTGCACCATTTTTAAACTTCGTCTAATTTTATTTTGAAGGTAAGTTTGTTTGAAGATAAGCGCAACATTACCTTTTTTTTTTTTTTTTTTTTTTAATATTTTTGTTTACATTTTTTAGTTCGTTTTTACAATACAATGAGAGTAATTAAAAAATTAATGCAAATCATAAAGTTAGCAAATACTACTAACATTTAAAAAACTAGGTATATGAAAGAAGATCAGTAAGATCTTATTGTCAGAACCTTTTACTAGTCTAAACAAAATATTAGGTTATAAAGTAACTATAACAACAACAAAATAAAAATAAAATATACATACATATATCACTTTGTAATATAGATAATAAAGTTTAATAAATATTTCCATAAATATTATTGTCAAATTTTGATAATACGGAAGAGAAAAAGATTTTTCAGCTTAACTTTAAAAAGTTGCAAAGAAGTAGGTAGATCAAAATTAAAATTAGGCAAAACAATTTCGTTCCACAGATGGGGTGCCCAATAACCAATGCAAAATTGGTTAAAATTTGTTCGATAAAAAGGCTCATACAGAAGGTTGTTATTTCTTAGAGAGTATTTATTGGTAGGTTTCAAGGTAATTAAATCATTAAAAACGGCAGGAGAATGATTGTTTTTACATATATATATACAAAGCATTAAATATTAAAAATATTAGGTTCGTAAATAATAAGTATTCCATTTCATAAAAAAGTTGTTTAGAGTGAGAAAAACGATCAGCAAAATTAATAACACGTATTACATGTTTCTGACGGCGATATAGATACTGTAACTTACTTTTTTCAGTGCTTACCCAAGCAATATTTACATAATTCATACAGCTATGAATGGATGCATAAAAAAGTTGCAATAAAACTTTTTTATTTATATAGATTCTAGCCTTGTAAAGAATTCCAATATTTTTTGAAACTTTAGTACCAACACAATCAATATGTTGCTTCCATGTGATGTTCTCATCAAGGAATACGCCTAAAATTTTGTGATACAATCTCTTTTTATTTCAATTTGGTCAATAAAAATATCAGGTAGAGTTGGGAGTAAATAACGTTTTTTAGTTATCGAATGAAAAAGAATCCATTTTGTTTTTTTAATATTTAGGGTAAATTTATTGCATTTGAACCAGCTAGAAATTATTTTGAGTTCTTCATTCATAGTAGCGAAGAGTTTATTAATATTGTTGTCAGAAAAAAATAAATTAGTATCACCCGCAAACATAATACTTAAAAGATTAGAAGCTTTATGCAAATCATTAATGTATATTAAAAAAAAAAAGAGGCCCCAAAATTGATCCTTGCAGAACACCAAATGAAATATCTAAAACATTTTTTTTTATAAGGATTGTTGAAGGAAACAAATTGTTTTCGGTTTGTTAAATAACTTTTAAACCATTTCATAATATTCAAGTTTATGAATCAAAATGCTAAGATTTACTGTATCAAATGCTTTTGATAAATCCAAAAAAATACCTAAAGTGAATTGTGAATTTTTGAAAGAGTTAGAGATTTCACGGACAAATTGGATGATTGCATGCTCAGTAGAACTATTTTTTTTTAAATCCAAACTGATTTTTATAAAAAAATTTCTACTCCTAAAATTAAGTATATAATCTATTGTAAATAATTTTTTTCTAAGATTTTTGAAAATGTTGATAAAATAGAAATAGGTCGGTAGTTACATACATTAGTTCTGTCTCCTTCTTTGTATATTGGGAAAAACGCTTTGTTGTATTGATGCTCTCAAAACATTAAAGAGAATAATTTTTTAAATGTTCAAAGCATTCTAAAACTATGTTTACATTTATTTCATCAGCTCCAGGAGCTTTGTTTTTTTAATAGATTTAAACAACACTTGAAACTCCTCAAATGATAGCTCAGAAGATAAATTATTGGAGCAAATGCAATCATCCATCGGTGTTAAAAAGTTATTGAACACAACTTGGGTATTAGGAATTTTATTTGCTAGTTTGGAACCGATTTCAATAAAGAATTTGTTAAACCCATGAGTTAATAATCTAGGTTCAAAAACATCTTTCTTATCCATTTTAATCACCTGCGGTAGGGAACCTGAGCAAGTTTTTTGTTTTCCACCAATTTCTCTTAATATTTTCCAAGTACGTTTAGAGTCGTTCTTAACATTTTCAATTAATTTTGAGTAGTAATCCTTTTTTAAGTTTTTACAAGTTTTTTCAAATAGATATTTTTAATCTTTGTATATTTTTTCGTTCAAAGGTATTTTTGTGTTTAAGTAATTTATATATAGCTTTTGTTTGATCTTAGATGATTTTTTAAAACCCTTAGTTATCCAAGGAGCATTAAAGCTTTTTTGATTTATTGTTTTTTCACAGATGAGAAAATTGGCATCATAGACAGAATAAAATGTTTTAAATTTTCATAAATTTTATTTGCGTCGTCATTAAATTTTATATGCTTCCAATGAAGCAGTGCTAATTGTTTTTTAAACTGTTTAATATTGTTTATATTATATATGCGTTTACTTATTTTATGATTAGTTTTGGTTTTAATTTTAGAATTTGAGTTGAATGATAGAAATATTGGGAAATGATCATTTATATCTGCTTTCAATATACCTTTTTGTATATTGTTATTGAAGACATCAGTTGTAATAATGTTATCAATGAGAGTTGCTGAGTTTGCTGATACTCTAGTTGGACGATTAATTAAAGGAATTGCTCCTATTTCAAATATTAAATCATAAAATTTTTTTATTTTACAGTCATTCTCGTAGTTTAAAAAATTCATGTTTAGCTCACCAATAATAAATTTTTTTTCTTTTTTTCGTTAACGCCTATTTTGATAACATTTTGCTCAAAAAACGTGCTCAGATTCTCACTCAGACCGTCAGGTGGTCGATAATAGCAGCTTAGTAATATTCATTATTTTTCAATATCATTCATTTTCAATATCAATATAATTTTCAATATCATTAATTTTCAATATCATTAATATTCAATATCATTAAGTTAAAATTTCTTTATCGCCGTCAGAAACGCTTAAATCATTCCTAACGTAATGCGCAATGGTTTCCTCCACGTAAATAAGAACTCCACCACCGCGTTTATTTGTATGTCTCTCTTGAGATATTAACTCAAAACGGGGAAGATAAAAACTTGCGTTATTACTTAAATCGTTTGTGTTTATCCAAGTTTCAGTTAAACAAATAGTATTAAAAACACTCTTAGTTTCTTCTAATAAGTAAAGAAGCTTTTCAAAGTTGTGATATTTACATAAAGGATCAGTGACGTGGCAAGTAGATCTGGCCCCCTTTCCCCAAAAAAACAAACAAAAAAAAAACTAGTAATTTGGGTCCTAATTTTTTATTTATTCTTTCTAAAAAAGTGAATAACATTTACAGACTACCCCAAAAAGCATGATACCTGAAATATTTTAACGTCGCCGTTTATAAGACTAAAAACAATCAAATTAAAACTTAAATTCAATTAAATATATTTTATAATTGTTAAATTGATATAGAGTTTACTAGTAAAGAGTTTTTTTAAATACAGTTAATGTATTGCGCAAATAATACAAGTACGTCGCAAACTATTAAAAAAAAGGGTTTGCAACTGTTTTCATGCTTGCAAACTCATTTATTATGCCTTCATAATTTAATTTCCTTGCAACCTCGATTTTAATCGACAGCGTTGCTAAAGAAGACAAAAGTTCATCGACCATTGTTGACCAATTTAAACATACAAAGAAATATAGCTACATGTATTTATGTGTAATGAAGCAAGATTATTTATACTAACCTATGAAAAGTTTTAATTAGTTTTAACTTGCTGAAGCTACGTTCTACACTTAAAACAGTAACTGATAAGTTACTGTTTCAAGTTGCAAGAAACTTATCACAATCTTGTTGTTGCATTACGAAAGAATATTTCGTAATGCAACAACAAGATTGGGATAAGTTTATTGCAGCTCTTTTTTGAGGCATTTTTCTCCACCTTGTTAACTATGACAAATCGTTTTAACTCCATTTCTAAATCCTCAAAGTCTATATCACCAAGCTTCATTTGCAAACTTTTGCAATTTATAGACAAAGAACTTTCATTACAGGCTTTGATAAGACTTTCAGAATGGTAAAGAAAATCATTAAGCTTTGTGACAATACTGATCTGTTTAAAACGCTTTTTTACTGATGCAATTGACATATCAATTAATGGGGGAAAAAATGCTTTATACTGATATTCAGGTTGCCGAGTGTGATCAACACACTCGTATGAATAAATCGGCATTTTGTTTTCGTAAGCATACTATTGGTAAAACCTTTTTAATACCCAATACTTCTGCGATTTCTGATGCCTTAATACGTGCGTCAGAAAATCCATTTTTGCAATTCTCATAAGGAAATGCATATATTGCCTTTATTTTACTAGCTAATAAGTCGAGAGAGGTTGCCGACCACTGAAAAACCTTACTTGATTTGTTGATTTGAAAAAAACATCATAACAAGTAACGATTGCTAATAAAAAAAGCTCATGTTCTAATATATTCCGTGAGCGATCGTACTTCTGTGGCTGTAACCCTATCTCTCTTTTAAGCCATTTTTTTTCAAACTTTCGAGTGCCTCTAAGATTTCTTTTAAATAACAGT